TGAACAGATGAATGAAAGTCCTTTGCAGTGAATGACAGCCTGACAACTGGAGCCCATGAACATAACCAAATGCTGAGCTTCCTCCTTTGATTTGCTTTGCTGAACCTTTTTTTGGAGCCTTTGTTTGCATCAGGAAGCTCTTGGGTCACCTTCATGCTATGTCTTGGATCATAACCATCAGTGCTCTCCTGCCAGTTTTGATAGAACTGTAAATTCTGTTTATTGTTTGGGATCTATTTAACTATATAATTAGAATTTTCACATTTTAATGTAGAACAAAGCCTGCAAATGAGCACAGTCCAGTAACTTTGGTATGCAGCGTTTATATACTCAGTGAATAGACTATCCTGGGTATTTATCCCACTTCATGAACTGAACTGTATCATATTCAACAGTTTCAGGATGGTTCACAGACATTCTCTCTTTTTATTTTGATCTAAAATCACTTTCTAGACATGAGATGTGGTTCTCCAGCTTCTACCATCAACTGTACAATAACACTTTGAAAGACATTTTTTATTTGAAGCTCTCGCTCATCTGTACAGTTTGAACAGATCAATTATCATCAACAACAAATCCAAAGTTTGATAAGGAAACGAGTCACAGATGTTAAATGTGTCCCCTCGCATGCTTCTGTCTGTGTGGGGCTCATGTTCTCTCTGTGACTGGGTGGGTTCTCTCCAGGTGCTCCGGCCTCCTCCTGCAATCCAAACACATGTGTGGAAGGTTTCCTTTCATGCATCCGCAATAACATTTCCCCGTGCATCTATCTTCCATCATGTAGATTCACATCCTGGCTCTGTTCCTCATCTGGTTTCTTTTCCTGATAGGATCCTTGTTATCCTGTTGGTGGTTCTTGGAGAGAATAAAAACACACAGAAAGTAGCTCAGAGATAAATAATTGCATTTGAACCGTGTCTAACCTTGTTTGTAACTAACGAGCTCATGTGTTCATGGAGTTTCCTTGTGTTTGCTGAGCTGTCATGTCCTGCTGGTCCTGGATCTGTTTCCATCATTTCTTCTTTTAAATACTTTGGGGTCCTGGAAGCTGGGATCTTTTGCTGTGTCGGTTGGAGTTCTGAACCCAGACGGAGTGTAAATAATAAACAAATAAATTTTGAGCCCTGAGGGGAAATTCACAAGCTGCCCAGCGGCTGTATAACTATATAACATTATTAAATTATCTTTATGGACTCCCAACTTTAAAGTGATGAACACATGAATACATAAACATTATAATCCAATCAGAGAGCTTCTATATTCTCAAATACACCATCGTTCTGCATAATAGATGCCTTTACATTTGGCACTTTAAGTATATTTTGATGTAAATTCTTTTTGTACTTGAGTATAAATTTCAATACATTATTTGTACTTGTGAGTATTTCTACACTGTAGTATCTAAATACTTCCTCCATCACTACAAACTGGGGAACATTTTGTCTTTGTAACTTTTCGAACTTACATTTGAACATGTTTGGTACATGCCACGTATGATTTCCTGCAGCACAGAAATTCTAAAGTCAGTTGATTTGCACACAAACTACTGTAAAAGTATCTGGATATTTACTATAGTGGACAAGTGGGGACTAGTTTGGGTAAATGGTCTGTTGGAAGTGCAGCAACGTCACAAACCTCCTTCATCTGGAATAGAGAGATACAACAAGTAACTAAATAATAAATACTTCAGCATATTGATTACAAATATTTTACAAGATTTTGTAAGACTAAGACATGTTGTTAGTAGGGAATGCCTCCTCATTGTGTCACTGTAAACTACCAACCATGAACCAAAGGTGCCACCTAGTGATGACAACAGACAACTGTTTGTATGTAAATACTCATTCAGTGGTGAAAAGTAACTGAGTACATTTACTCACAGACTGTACTTCAGCACAGCTTTGACAAACTTGTGCTTGAATGTTTCCATTTAATGCTGCTTTATATTTAAATTCATTACATTTTAGGGATAGATATTGTACTTGCTTCTCCACTACAATCAGAATTTAATGAAGTCACACATGACAATATATCAGAACGACTAAACCAAAACCTTACTTTAATATTTTAACTACATTATGATGCTAATAGTTGTGTACTCTTACTTAAGTAGGATTTTTTGTTTACTTTTAATGGTCATCAACACAGACATACTGACTCATTCACTGCGACTCACGTGTATCGATGCACAGAGATAAACATGTACAGTGCACAACAGAAGTGAGAACACAGATTCTCAGTCCTCCAGGTCGTAGTGATCCTTAGTATGATTTCAGTATAATACAGACTTGAGGAAGCCTCTTGGATGAGAGGTGTAATGTGTTCAAGAACCAGAAACGGTGGCAAACCTTTCCAAAACCTCTCCATGATGACTAAAGTGTAGCTTTCAGGGTTTGAAGAAATCTTTATTTTCTATCTCTTCGACATCAGTGCAAAGATATTTGCAAGGATGATCAGTTACAACTTGAGGGAGCTTCAGTTTGGAACAGAGAACAGAGGAGTGAAAAAGCCTGATGTGGATCTGTACGAATCAAATGTGGAGTGCACCATAGCGATGACTTCCACAGGAATCTTTTATTCTGCAATACAACAATAGCCATCCATCCATTATCTATACACTGCTTAATCCTCACTAGGGTCATGGGGGGCTGGAGTCTATCCCAGCTGACTCAGGGTGAAGGCAGGTTCACCTGGACAGGTAACCAGTCTATCACAGGGCTACACTTAGAGACAGACAACCAAACACACTCACATTCACACCTACGGACAATTTAGAATCACCAATTAACCTCAGCATGTTTCTGGACATTATGGGAGGAAGCTGGAGAACCCGGAGAGAACCCACGCTGCACGAGGAGAACATGGAGACTCCACGCAGAAAGATCCCGGTGCCTCCACTGGGACGTGAACCGGCGACCTTCTAGCTGCGAGGAAACAGTGCTAATCAACTGTGCCACCCTGCAGGGGATTCTAACCAGACAAACATCGGCTCAGTTCTGCTCAGTTTTTATCAAAATATTTAACGTTCAATAGCAGAAACACACTCGACAACGTTCACACAGATGTGGAGACTGTATACGAGGCAGTGCCCCCGTTCAGGTCAGTCCGACCTACCTGTTAATGTTGCTTACGAGCTGCTAATTAGCAGAGAAAGCAGGCCTGAGGCAGCAAAAACACGACTGCAGGACTGTTTAATGAGTACTAACTGGAGTGCTTGAGCTGGTGATTCTGGTCTCGAACAATGTGGTGACTTTCTTTGTTAAAAACTGTAAAATAATCTGAGTACAACAACCCTGTGCATTTTAGCCTCACAAGACTTTGCATAAGAGTTTTATTTCCGCAGACAGCTGTGAACAAAAGTTTATACACACATGTAAAGTAGAGGCCAGACCTCTTCTACTCAGATGTTTTCTATCAAACTGTAATCAGGCTTTTCCGCTCCAGTGGCTTTAATGTTTAGTTAAACCCTCTGGATGCACACTCATGAAGGCGTCTCCTGATTGGACGATGATACGTCTCCCTTCCGGAGAATGTTTTGGACTTGGCTCGATGTTTTGAAGGAGAAGCTTTTTATAATCCTCCCACTTTGCTCGTGCCCTTCCAGGCTTGCTGACTCATCCCTTCTTTTCAAGAACGGACCGCATTAAAGCGTCCGCATCCCTCTGACGGCTCTGCTTTGTATTTTCAGGATAATGAAGTTCTCCTTCCATGGACACCTCTTTGGACTGCGTATCAATCAGGGTCCAGATGCCAATTAAACACTTGGAATCAACTCCTTTTCATCTCCCTCATTTGTCATGACATAATGAGGAAACGGGCAGCTCACCAGGAAACTGCTCATCCGTTAATTACTTTTGTGTAAAAAAAAAAAAAAATGGCAGCAAATCCTAAAAAGTTGATATTTTTTTAAACGCCTTGAATTAAAGCTGAGGTTCTGCACGTCAGTCAAACACTGACTGCTTCATCTCCAACGCACTGCACAGAGGAAAAACTACAAAAGCTGCATCGCTATCCAAATAGTTACGAGTGTCTGTGTCTCTTGTTTACAGCTGAAATATCACACGTTGCATAATTGAACTGGATGACTGGACTTTGTTTTATTATCTCTTGAAGGCATGAGTGATTTCTGTGTGCAAAGCCACTGACCATTAAACTGCATTATTAATAATCTTAACAAAATAACATCACGTTAGCAGCGGTTAACAGTCCAAAAGTGCTAAAAGGCATCACGTTCCATTCAGTGGAAATGGGAGCTTTATCCGAGCTTCTTCAGCAGGTCCACAGCTTCTTTATGCACCTGCAGAGGAACAAACAAGGACGTTAACGACAGCCCGGCAGCGTATCAGTGTGTCAGTTAAACTGCTGTGTGCTACATTCAGAAAGCTATCAGTGTTTGTGTGATGACCCCTGAGGTCATCTTGTATCTTGTGGGTGGTTCCAGTTCGTCTATTGGTTCTGTGAGTGGCTGTTTGAGGTAATCAGGAGCACCTGTGACACCCAGTGGGTTCCTGGGTTAATTAAGGGCTGCCTGCAGTCTAATCTCCCTCTACTCTGCTTCCCACCACAGGTAACACACCGGTCTGGTTATGCGTTAGTTTTCTTTGTTCAGGATGTTTGCATTTACAACATTTGCACAGACATAACTCATGCAAACATCACGCACACACACCACTGACTCTATGTACTCTCACAACCCCATACTGGTTTGGTTTTTAATTTGGTGTAATTTAAGTGCACAAAGACAAGCTTTAATTTTTGAAACTTGCTGTGTCTCTCCTTTTGTTGCAGCTGTCTTGAGCCGGGTCGTAACATTTGTACCTCTTTGTCTTCCAGTGTGTGAGCGGGGTACTCCTTAGCTTTCGTTAGCCACAGCAGCGCTTTCTGCTGGTCTTTCATGGCGAGGTACGTCTTCCCGAGCATCAGCAAGTTCTTGCTGTAGAAGTTTGGATCAACTGAGAAAAATAAAAACAGACAGAAATTTGTTGTAGCAGTTTTTTTTTGTTTTTTTTTAATGCAGTCTTGAATTCGCAAAGACTTTCAGCCAGAGCCAGCAGCAGTTTGTTTTACCTTCCTCAGCTTTTAGGAAGAATTCCAAAGCCTGAAAGACAATTTTAAAAAAACAAATAAAGACAAAGGCAAACCACAAAATAAAAAAAACAGAAAGACAGATCATTCCTACCTCCTCGTATGTAGACGTAGGTGGTGATGCGAAGATCACAGCCGCCACCTTGCGTTGATACCACGGCAGCTCGGCAAAAGCAAAACACCTGTGAGGGAGAGGAGACTGTACGTCGGTTGATCCATCACAGAATGAAATATCTCAGCAACTATTTTCATTCAGGATACCAAGAGGATGAACCCTCATGGCTGCTGTGTTGCGATATGTTGAAAGCAGTGAACACTACAGCTGCTGAATGTGAGCATGTTGGGCTTACAGAGCAGCTAGTAGACCTCCATTACGATAACTAACCTCAACGTTGCCACCAATAATCAGAGAGGAGCTCAGGATTGTGGACGGTGCCTCACACAGTTTTAGAATCGTCTTATTTTAGTTTACTTGTTTTTCATTTTTATCTCAATTTAGCAACATATCACACTTATATCTCGTTGCTTTTTCTTACACTGGCACTGCATGTCTTCTGTTATGTAGTTTTTCTGAGTTCTATCTTATGTTATCCGACAGCGAGCTGGGTCCTCATCTGATTGGTCGATTGGTGTGAAAGCACAGAACCCAGGGCTCCGTCTGATAGGTTGAAATGTTTGCACGCTGACTGTGAATGCATGTTCGGTGTAAATAGAACGATTTTTATCCCATTTCAGGCAGTTATT